TGCAACCCTTAGATGCATTTTTTTCTTTCTTGAACCTCTTATTTATTGAGCACTGTGCAGAGCTCTTATACACCAGAGTGTTCTGAAACAACAATAAAAAATAAGCATCAAAAGAACAACGAAACAACAACAAAAACCAACCATCTTTCTGTGAAAAAAAAAAGTATCATAAAGAAAAAATGAAAGTTACACTACTATGGCTTTCAATACATTATCACTTTCATTTCCATTTGATGAGATTAATAGGAAAACTGTTGTACAACATAGTATGAGTAACATCTCACAGGCATTGTGCTGAGCTTTATTTCAAGCTTTCAAAGAAGAGGTCAAAGCTTTAGTTTACATCTATTTGACTACTCAGATTGTAGGCAATTGTTGGGTTTACTGACTACTTGCAAAAACATTTAATGTAAAATAGCCCACTAGGAGGATAGAGGGTTATCTATAAGGACAGTGTGTTGACATCTTTAAAAAAAAAAAAATATATATATATATATATATATATATATATATACATATATATGAATCTAGCTACTATAATGTTGGTATAGGTTGAATAATTTGCATCTATATTAACAACTATTTATTTTTGGACAAACTTTAAAGTTTCATAGGCAAAATGAGACCACAATTTCAATTTTGAACAGATAGTATAAATCTCTCTTCTCTAAATTTTAAACCTTTCCTTTGCTTTTAGGAAACATAACTGCATAATTCAAACTCCTTCAATACTGTGACCTAGTTCCCCCTCTTGATGTTATAAACGGCTCATGTAACTATGGTAACCATCTAGGGAAAATTGAATGTTTTCTGGTCAGCATTATGCAAAGTATACCATATGTGTTATTTTTTCCATGATAACCAAGGAGATAATATGCTTGGTTTTTCCCTGGCTATGTAAGTACGATATTTTATTATACTGAATTTACTCCTTGCAACAGTCCTAGTCACTCAGTTCCTTCATTAAATGTTTGAGGATCATCTCTTGCTGCTAGTAGTTACTCTAAATGCTGAACAGTGCATAACATAAAATAGTAGGATAAATTATATACACCAATTTAAAACCTGTGCTATCACATAAAGTACACATATAGGCTGACACTGCTTAGATTTCTAATATTACACTAGAAAATCTGATATTTTCTATATTTTAATCTTTAGTCATAGCCAAAGTGATTCCCTAAAGCAAAAAACTGCTACATGGAATTACATCTTATAGGTATATTAGATATTTAAAAAGTTATCTGGAGTTTTGGTAATTTTTATTTATCTTCTTTAAATGTCTATTTTAATTAACTAGTGTGTATTACCTGTAGTTATGTAATAATGCGATTAAAATGCTTTAAAACTGAACTCAGTAGAGATATATACTATTAATTAGTATTTTTTTTTTAGTTGTTTTCTGTACAATGAATTGATTTAAAGTTTTCAGTCTTTTTCAGGATAATTTAAAATGCTTTACTAAACTTCTAGAAAAAATTACACTTCAAACAGAAATTACTAGATTATTAAGTATTTACTCATATAGGTACAGTTAAATATCTATAGTGGGGTATCAATTGTGACCATTCGAGGATTTCATTTAAAGTGATTTTTTTCATCTTCCCATATTCATAAGTGCCTTTCAACTACCCATATAGCTTCCTTAGAAAAAACATTGCTATCTGCTTCACTGGATTAAACAGGGAATTAATTGCCTCTTCCTGGTTTAGAAAAGGCCTTACTAACCAAATGAAAGTGTTGGACTTGTCCAGGCTGTGTTAAACAATAGGGAAATCTGACAATTTGAATTGTTCTGGATATTAAATGATAGTAAGAAAATTATGAGAGTAGGATAAAGGCATCATATGTTTAAAAAATTATTGTATTTTATTCTGCTTACATTTAAAGTATTTACAGGTAAAATTATAATAACTACTTATAGTACAGAATTACTTAGTACAGAAGGGTTAAGGAAAGTGAAGGGTTATAGATTAAATAATATAGCCATATGTAGAAATGTTAATGCTAGGTGAATGGTATATAATACTTTTTTGTTTGAAAATTTCTATCATGAAAAGTTTCTAAAAAACATTGAACAGTAGAAGAAAGAAAAGGATTTCAAATTTAATTGGCCCAACTTGCAGAAACTGAATTTTCTCAGGAGGTATTCTTAGGAATGTTTCAGAACTACTTACTAGTTTGTTTTTAATGGGTTTGAAGTTGTTGCTCTTCCTTTCATATCATATAAATGAGAGATACAAGGGATAGATTTGGAACCTCTTCAAGTAATTGATTTAGAAATTAAAGGTAATCCCAGACTATTTGGGGATACCAGATTATCTCAGGTTTGCTTTAAGAGTAGAAAATATATTGAAGAACAAATAAAATGCCTTTTGTTTAGTCACAGGATGAAATATCATCAAATGTTGCAGAGAATTGGGGATTTCTAAATTTTTTATTTATCAGTAAGCCCTATATGAAAAGGCCCCCAATTTCCAATAAAGTGATTACTAAGAAAAGGACACTGATAAATAACCAAGATAGAGTTTAGGAATATAGCTGAGTGTTTCCCCAACTATGTGGGTGCTCCTCTCAGAGGCTGCTTTAATAAGCATTTATATATATTTATATTCATATAATATAAATAAATGAAAGCATGGCAAGAATAAGCCTTATATTAGCCTTTATAAATATCTCAATAGAAGTATGTCCAAAATAATTCATTCACACATGTATTATCACATCGGACTGTTTTATAGATTTACACTAGTGCCAGTTGAAATGCCATTGTTTGGACTTTCTTTTCTTTGCTTCTTTCAGACTGTTTAACAGGATTATGAAAAATGAAAATAATGCTATAAAAGTTCTCCTATCCCATACTGATCCTTGCTTTGTTTTGTCTTGCATTATGTTCCTGGAAGGAGTACTCTATAGATATTCTGCATCACTGCTTTTTCTCATTTATAGTTTCTAAGTGTCATATCTGCCTGCAGATCATTTCAAGTAGAGTAAAATTAATAGGGGATTCAGAGTCTAAACTCAATCAACAAATAACAAGGCATCTTTCATTATTCTACTTCTTCAATAAAGACTAGCTAATTCAAATTTGTGAGGGGGGGAAGCAGTAGGTTTACATAAAAATCAATAATATTTAGTTCTTAACAATGACTGATTTTTTTTTTTTGACAAGACTAAACTGCTTAATCTAAGGATTTAAAGAATGACAACAAAACCATCCCCAAATGGTTCTCAGAATTCTCGACTCCCTGGCTTAATTCAAGTGGTCAGAACCTCTTAGTGTCGGGGGATCTCAGATGATCTCCCAGTCCTCTGCAATACTGCTGTAGTTCAAGAAGACATCGATTTCCCTGGAGTGCTTTATTTTAGCCTGAAATTTTAAAAATTTCCTCTAGGTCAAGGTCTAGATTTCGCTGCACATCAACGGCTACTCTGCGGGTGCACCACCACTGCAAACTAATCATATAAAAAATGCAAATTTATCACCCCTCACCACGCATATTTTCTTTTTAACTCCAAGATACTGATCACAATACGGTTTGTTTACATAAGCGTGCCATTAAAATTCTCTTTGTATGCGTTCTATTTAAACTCCTTTTTTTTTTTTTCAAAAATACACATTGAATGTACTTAAAGTCCGTCCGTAATTGATATCAGCCTGGCGTTTCATTTACACTTCACACAAATTAAGCCCTGATAGTCGCTCACACAGATAAGAAAGGCCACGGTCTGATTACAGATGAGATATTTATTTTCTTCTCCCTTACCCGCGAACCCCTCCAATCGTTAGTCCCAGGGTAAAAATGAGTAAAAAGACTGGGAAGGGTGGTGGTGCCCCCCGCGCCCTCAGCCAGTGAGCCCTCACCGAGGTTTAATGCTTAAACGTTCCAACCCCTTAAGAGTGCAAGACAGACGCAGTCCTGCACCCCTTCTTCACATACAGGAGACTCTCGAGAAGGGGACAAGTGGACAAACCCTGTAAGCCACCGCGGAGCCGGGAAAGGGCGGAAGCACGCCAAGGCCCGCAGCGAACTTGAAAGCCGGGCGTTTAAAAGATAAAGAAAACACAGAGGGCCGAAGGGAGCGCCGCCTACCTCCCCGAGCAGGCCCCCCGGTGCTCGGCGAGCCCGAAGGCGGCGGCGGGAGGAGGGACTGAGCCCCGCGGAGCGCTGAGACGCCGGCCGCGAGCTGTGGCTCGGCGGGAACTCGCCGCCGCGCATGTCGGGAGCTGCGCCCCGCTGCAGGCTGGGTCCAGTAGTTCCCGCAAGCCTCACTCCGGGTTGTAGCGAAAAGTAGCCGCCTGCTGCTCCTTTTAAGGTTCGCAAGGGGCCGCGCTTGATCCGCCTAATGGGAAAAAAAAATCGGTAATACCGGGCCAAGTGAGCTAGCCCAAGGTTCCGCCTCCGCGTGGGAAGGGCAGAAACAAGAAGCTGGCCACCTGCCCTCTCAGGTCCCATTCAGACATGGGGTGAAGAGGCAGGCCCAGCCGTGCTTCCCCTTTAAGGGGGGCGGGGCGCAGCCTGCCGTTTGGCCACCCTCCGCACCCTCCCCCCCAGCCAAGAGATGACAGACCAATCGCTCGGGTGGCGGAGGGAAGGCGGGAGAATGCGAACCCTTCGGTAGGGCGGTAGGGGCGGGCCCCTAGCCTTATTAGGAGTGAGTTCTGCGCAGGCGCAGACGCGACCGCAGGCGGAGGGGCGGGGGCAGTCCAGTGAGAGACTCTCCGACAGGCACGGAGGGTGATTGGGAGTAGAGCGGGCAGCGAGGGGCTTGTCATGGGGATCAGAGCTACTAGACGGCATTGGTAGCATCTGGGGACTCGGAAAGGGGCAGGAAGTGTCAACTCCCGGGACCCCGACGCCAGCTCGGCTGGGGGTATCCCCGCTGCTCTAGACCTGGGAAGGGAGGGGGGAAGGAGGGAGCCCTGATCTCGCCCCGCCCCTGGGCTTGTTACCGCGGGGGCGGGGAGTGAGGGCTTCTTTGGGGGGGAGTGGAGATCGGGGGATTCGGCTGTGCCCTCTCGAGCGGCTGCCAGCGTCCCTGCGGCGCCGGGCTGCGGAGCGAAGGAGCCGCGGCGGCCGTGGCTGTTGCATGTGTGGCTGCTGGATGCGGAGGCGGCGGCGGCGGCGGCGGCGAGGAGCAGCAGCAGCGGCGGCAGGATGTTAGGGCAGCAGCAGCAGCAACTGTACTCGTCGGCCGCGCTCCTGACCGGGGAGCGGAGCCGGCTCCTCACCTGCTACGTGCAGGACTACCTTGAGTGTGTAGAGTCACTGCCCCACGACATGCAGAGGAACGTGTCTGTGCTGCGAGAGCTGGACAACAAATATCAAGGTAGGGGGCCGCGGGGCTGCCTGCGCGGGTCCTCCCCCACCCGGATCCGCTGGCCTCTGGCACGGTGGCCCGGAGTCTGCCTTGGGAAGTGCCACTTTCTCTACCGTGACAGTTCTCCTGAGTGCACAGAGGGGTTCTGCTGTGTGGGACGGGGAGAAGGGACTGGAGACGGGGTTCGCGGCCCTCCCTTTTCCCGCTGCGGTCGGCGAGGACTTCTGTGGGGTCTCGGGTGGGGGTGGGGGCCGCTCGTCAGACCCGCTGCAGACCCAGCGGCTGCAGCTGCTGTGGAGGGGAATCAGCCATTTTAATCAAGCATTTGTTCCGGCGCTCACCGGCCGGGTGCCGCACACCCTCCCACTCCGGCGACTGAGGGGCCGCCGGGCGGGGACTGAGCAGTGAGCGCCGGGCCCTGGCCGGGCTCCGGCTGATTAGCGGGGCCTGGCTTTTCCCTACCCCTACGGCCCCCCACCCCCTGAGAGCAGATGCATTGGAACGTGCTGGGGGGAGGGGGCGAGAGAGGGCGGCGAAGGCGTACTCGGAGAGGTCCCTCCCTCCCGGCTCCAGCTCGCGGCTGGGCTCTGGAGTGGAGCACTCAGTTCCCCGCTCCCGCCCGGGGGGAAGTTCCGGGCTGTCCGAGGCCGCAGCCTTTTCCCAGCTCTTTCTGACAAATGGTTAAAGAGGAGGGGTCCCCCGCAGGGAAAGGTGGAGAGGGGTGTGTGTGTGGCGGGGAGGGCCCCCGATGTCTGTGGGCGGGGCCTGTGGGCATGACGTAGGACCTGGGAGGGGCGCGAACGCGCGCGCTCCCGCTGGCCTCGAACATGGCTGGTGGCTAGAGGGGCGGACGATGCTGACTGCTTAGAAGAGATCCGGGCCATGAGAGGCATTAGTTGGGCCCTAACAGTTAGTCAGCGGGGCTGGCGATGTGTTTGTTATGATGTTTCGTTTTTCTTTTTCCCACCGAATGAATCGACGGGGACGCTGCTACTGGGACCATCGCTGACCCTGGCTCCGCGTAGGTTCCGGGCCAGGTGTCACTTCCGGGCCCCTGAAGGAAGTGGGTTGGTTGGCTGGGCAACCGCTTTGGCGTCTCTTCACTTCTGGGTTCCTCCTCTGCCAAATTTTGAGTGATGAGGCAAAAACCATCGTTTATAGTCGAAAAAGTTAGTACAGGGAATTAACCTTTCTTACAGATAGTGTCTATCAGCAGCCCTTCGCCTGCAACTAGCGGGGAGACGTTTAAGTGGTAGATGTTTTGCATTAGTAACCTTGAATCAAGGAGTATTCAGACCTAATGTGGAAATAGCCAGACGATGGACCTTAAAGATAACTTCGTGGACCCATTCTGTTTTTCTAGACACTTCACTAATCCTGTGACTTAAGGAATCCACCTCTGTGGTGACAGGTTTTTTTTGTTGTTGTTTTTTTGTTTTTGGTCTATAGCGTGTTGGAGCATTTAAGTGTCTCAGTATGTAAATTTATCTTCTGAATTCGTGCGATTGTTGGAGGAATACTGATTGCTTATAGTATGGCTGTTGCTGCACTAGGCCTAGAACTTATGAAGTAAAACTCATTTTACAGATAAATTAAAATTTACAAAGTGACCAGATCGAGGTTATTTTTTTCCAAAGCTGGCTAGAGCCCATCCTTCTTTTTGGACTTAAACTTTTTTTTTTTTTTTAAATCAAAGCGGTCCAATACTATTTTCTACAGTTATGGAGGACAAGCGTGAATGGTAACCTAGAAAGAAGACGTGTTTGCGAGTTTGCTGGGTGCGGTGGTGCACACCTATAATCTCAGCCACTTGGGAGGCTGAGGGAGGAGGATTGCAAGTTCAAGACTAGCCTCAGCAACTTAGTGAGGTCCTAAGCAACTTAGACACTATCTCAACATAAGAAAATTTTAAAAGGCTAGGGATGTAGCTCAGTGGTTAAAGTGTGTCTGGGTTCAATCCCCAGTATCAAAAAATTAAAAATAAATTGTATTTCTTTTTAAAAATTTTCTTAAAAATAAAATGGGTTAGGATGGGGTACCCTTGGGCTCAATCCCCAATACATCCCCCCCCCCCCCAAAAAAAAAAAAAAACCCTCAAATTGAACATTTTTAGTTTTTTGGATAGTAGCACTGATATTTGTAAAGCTTGCACATTTTTACATTTCTTTAAGCACATGTTTACCCTTCACAAAAGTTATGCTATTTTCAGTTGGGGAGGGACACTATTTAAATTTGTTGACAGGGAGCTCTGCTTATCTGATCATGTATGATTGTCATAAGTTGCTCTTATGAGTAATATAGTAGGGCTTACAAATTGGGAGATAAAAATCTGAGGATTTTTAATAAGATTGTGATGAATTTCAAGATTAATTTAAAAAGAGTGATACAGTTTTTACTCTATGCACATGGTTGCTCAACTTTCAAAGTTTTGTTTATATACTTTGGCAAATGTTATTGGTTCGGGTTTGATTTTTTTTTTAATTTTTGACTAGTTCTTAAGTATTTTCTAGTTGCAATTTTTAGTTATGTAAATTATAGGCAACTTATAGAATTTCTCCACCACCTATTTGAGACACTGTCAAAAATTACCAAAGGCCCCATCAAATCGAGAAATAAGAAAACATTTTCACAATTGAATGAAGTATTTATTATGGGATTTGATTATTAGAGAACCTTTATTATTGTTCTAGTAGTCTCATTTATAATTTCTTAGGTAAATAATAACCTTTTAACTAAAATTTAATATTTAATTTCAAGTGCCTTTTGTACAGCCTGTACAAAGTGCTTAAATTATTGGGTCACACAGATCTAGCAAAGTTCAAAGTCTGGGGTTCTTTCCTCTTGAATTTTATTTATCACATGTAGAAGTGATGGCCTCCTTGTGGGTTTGTTGTGGAGATTAAATAAGAAAATATTTACCACACAAAAGAAGCGAAGTCAGTGTTAATTTCCTTTCTTGTCTAAGTAAGAGGTCTTTAAAATGTGAATTTTTATCTCATGTACAATATCATTGTGCAAGTATGATATGTAATTAGCTCCTAATTATTAGATACAGACATTTGAAATGAGGCAATGAGGCTTACCTTTTTTTAAAAAAAAATTGTTTTATTGTAGTTGGACAAAATACCTTTATTTTATTTTTATGTGGTGCTGAGGATCGAACCCAGTGCCCCGCATGTGCTAGGCAAGTGCTGTACCGCTGAGCCACAACCCCAGCCCCAGGCTTACCTTTTTTTCTTTTTTTTTTTGTCAGGAAAATAATTTTCTTATTTTTCCTGTAGGGAAATTGCATTCTTAGGAAATTCACTTGCATGCCTAACTGAGCAAATGGAATAGTTATGAACTGTTTTGAAAAATATGGTATACAGGAATGAGTACCCTCAACTCTAGTGACACTTTGTTATGTGTCCTGGGTTAAACATTGTCCATCAAGTATTACTAGCTGAAGTTTTCAGGGAGGAGTTAATTTATAAGATTTTTGTTTAATATTTGTTTTGTGTAATCTTACTTATAGACAGTTCCAGTGTGTTTATTTTATTTACTATTTCTGTTCTTTAGATTAATATTGGAATATAAAACAATGGTAGGTATGTAGTGATAATAATAATTGGATTATAAAATAGTGGTATGTCATGTGGTATGATAAATTAATGTTTATTTCTCCACTTCTGCTAGGATAGAACTGTTTCTGATAGCAGTTATATCTGGTTAATATTGTTACAATAAGAAATTGGACAGATTTGAATAAATGTTTCAATAAGAAATTGAACAGATTTGAATACAACTAGTCTAAGTAAATTTTTGGTGACCTCTGAAACTATACAGGTTTTTGCATACCTTCTAGTGACTCAGCCATTTTATTTGATTTAAATAAGTGTCCCACTTGCTATGCAACTAAATCAGCAGTTCTAAAAGCTTAGAACCAACTGCTGAGTTATCTACAAAGGCAGAGTGATCTAGTGCTGACTTACTGTAATTTTGTTGTGGCTTGGTCAGTTGATGCCAGAAACAGTGGACCTTCTCTGGAATAGTTTTGATTTGTAGAATTTTTTATGTGATGCTATAATTAAAAAACCATTAAAACAAAGAGATGGAAGTCTAAAAATTTCCGATGTCTTCTCTGTTTAATAATATCCAAGGATATGATATGAAAAGGAAGGTACCCTGTCTTTCTGGAGTCATGTAGCAAGTCATTGATTGAATTATAAATCCTGTAAATTCAGTTTGAGTTGTAATCTGTAACCTACTTCTGGAATTTCAGGTTTTATGGCTAAATCTAGTAAATTTTTATATAGGGTTGTGTTCTGAAGTTCAAATGAAGTGTAGGCAATAAGGTACTATGTAGATTCTAATGTCATACAGTACTCCTATCTATTTAAAACATTTTTGATTACTAGAGACACATCTCTTATCCTTTTAGATGTAGATTAATAACATTAAATTCTTATGTTCTGATTTGATTTCTTCTAAGTATACTTTCATATTGGATAACAAGGTCTTGTATGGGGAATAATGTTTTTTAATGTGTACATACTATAGAGGAGTGGGATTTCATGCCTTAAGTTCTAATTTTCAAGTATTATATGTTAATATTCACTAATGTTCTCCTTTTTCTTTTCCCTTTTTAGAAACATTAAAGGAAATTGATGATGTCTATGAAAAATATAAGAAAGAAGATGATTCAAACCAGAAAAAACGCCTACAGCAGCATCTCCAGAGAGCATTAATCAATAGTCAAGAATTAGGAGATGAAAAAATTCAGATTGTCACACAAATGCTCGAATTGGTGGAAAATCGAGCAAGACAAATGGAGTTACATTCACAGTGTCTTCAAGATCCTGCTGAAAATGAACGAGCATCAGATAAAGCAAAAATGGATTCTAGCCAGCCAGAAAGATCTTCAAGAAGACCCCGCAGGCAGAGAACCAGTGAAAGCCGTGATTTATGTCACATGACAAATGGGATTGAAGACTGTGATGATCAGCCACCTAAAGAAAAGAAATCGAAGTCAGCCAAGAAAAAGAAACGCTCAAAGGCCAAGCAGGAAAGGGAAGCCTCACCTGTTGAGTTTGCAATAGATCCCAATGAACCTACATACTGTTTGTGTAACCAAGTGTCTTATGGGGAAATGATAGGATGTGACAATGAACAGTGTCCAATTGAATGGTTTCACTTTTCATGTGTTTCACTTACCTATAAACCAAAGGGGAAATGGTATTGCCCAAAGTGCAGGGGAGATAATGAGAAAACAATGGACAAAAGTACTGAAAAGACAAAAAAGGAGAGAAGATCGAGGTAGTAAAGGCCATCCATATTTTAAAGGGTTATTTGTCTTTTATATAATTCGTTTACTTTCAGAAAATGTTTTAGGGTAAATGCATAAGACTATGCAATAATTTTTAATCATTAGTATTAATGGTGTATTAAAAGTTGTTGTACTTTGTCTGTGACCTTAATTTTCTGCACTAAATTACCAAATATTTTAAACCAGGTAGTCTTCAGATCACCTGATAAAAGGAGCAGGGAACAGGGAGAGAGTGGTGTGAGCATTATAAAAACTTCACAAACCATGACTATTTCATTTTCACTTAAAACTCCAATGCTACTTTTTTGGGTAAACACAAAAGATTTGCTAGCATTTTAGTTCCATGTGCTCAAAGATTTTTTAGATATAGTTGGATTTATCTGTAAGCATCAAATTATCTTGGGTAATTTAGAATATGAACACTATCCCATTGAGAGCTTCTTTTTCAGCCCCATTTGTTCATACACTTATTAATCTCTAGTCTTCCAGAAATTTAAGGAACTAGAGATGAGAGTATTTTGGGATTCCATGTGGAATAATGTGCTCTTATTAGAGTATTTGCTGCTGTATTTTCCTTAGTAGCATTTTGATACACTGTCAGTAGCCCATTTGTAAATGCCTTGCTGCTTCTTCAAAATAGATACATTTAACCTAGTGTTTAATAAGGAAGTTGTTTAATGTTTTGTTTGTTTTTATTGGGAAAGGTAAGAGTAGTCAGGGTACCAAAAATGATGCTGTCGGCTCATATTGGCAAAATTTGGGTTAATGTAGTATCATGGTTCAAGGTTGAACAATTTAAAAAATGCATTATAATATTTTCTATGTTACCCACTACTGGAATGCTTAGCCACAGGCCTATCTGGGAAAAGGGCATATATACCAGTCTTTAAATATTGCCGTTCTGTCAAACAGTTGTTTTAAATAGTTTTGCTAGGGGCTATAGTTCATTTCTGTCCCAGTTAGTGATTATACATTATTTTAAATAATAGTGTATTTACCTTCTTAACTTTCTGGTATTGGTGCTGTTTGATGTTTTCATGTTTAATGAACTAATTTCATTATAACAATGCAATTAATAATGTATTTGTAAATTGAATTTTCCAAGATTCTAGTATTTTAAGAGTAAGCATCTTGATGGATATATGTCCATGTGTTTGGAGCAATTTTTGGTTGGGGGGGACAGGAAATTGATTAGTCCTTTAAATCTGTGTAACATACTTTTTATTCCTCATTTCTTCCCAATCTGATGATCTTGATTCTTTTTGATTAACATGTGAAAAATCCTGTCTGCTTGTTTGGAAAAAAAATTGATTTTTTTTCTCTTCTAGTTCTCCTGTGTGACTTTTAGGCATGCCATTTCACCTCATCTGAATGTCAGGTCATTCACTTATAAAATGAGTTAGTTTAAATATCTCCAAGGTTCTTTTGAAATCTATAGTGTTTGCACAGTAGTGAAGGATTTAAATAATGAAATGAGTTATTTTTCTCTTTCATTAATGTTCTCCATTCTTAGTTATGAACAAGAGTTTAAAGGTGAGCTTAGAAATATGCAAATGCAAAATATTTGATTAGGTTCTATACTAAGGGTGTTTTAATTGATAACTAGAACCAGTTGATTATCTTACTTCCTAAGCAAGAAATATTAGACAGTATGATTAAGAATTTCTTTTATTGTAACTTTGTCAAGTTGTAAACAAACCCTTTACTGTCTTGAGAATACAGCATTTTTATGGCCTCATTACCAGAATGGAACTATTTAAATTAAATACCAGTATGAGAAAATCTCCCCAAAGCCTTCAGATGTAACTTATATAGAAGTCACCACTTTTAGGACTAGGGATATACCTCAGCAGTAGAGTGCTTGTCTAGCATTCATGAAGCCCTGGGTTCAATTCCCAGTTCCACACCAAAAAAAAAAAATCGCTATTTTTTTCATACATTAATTTGCCTCAGCATATAAGCAGAATCAGACAAACAAAACAAAACAAAAAAATCCTTCCTAATAAAAATGCCCAAGTTTGGATTAGACTTTTAATAGGAAAACAAGCCTGGAAAATCCTGGAAGGTGTGATCTCTTTTAAGATCTAATATTTGAAACAGTGTTCATGAATTTCATTTTGTTTTCTATACCACATGGGAAGTAGAAGACTTAAGGTTGCTTAACATATTTGAGATTTCTTTTGTTAAGTAGTCTAGAATTCATAGTGACTTTACAACCAGTGGTGCCCAAACTTACCTCACATGAAATTACCTCAGGAGCTTCAAAAATACTAATCCCTGTGTTCCAACCCCAGCAATTGTGATCTAAATTGGTGGGGTTGCATTTGGAATGTGGTTTAAGCATTAGAATTTTTGAAAGATTACCATTCTAATTACAGAAAAGTTTTGGAACCAATGCCCCTTTTTGAAAATTTCAGCCTATTGATGAAAACTGATGATGAATTCTCAACATCCAGATTTATGCAACTCTTGAAGAGTTTATCCCCTGCTCCCAACAGTTCCACCACCAGTACCTAAATACTCAGTATTTGAGTGCTTCTTTATGTGTACCAGGAGTTCTTTATTACACAGTTGTGATATAAAAAGAAAAAGCCCTTGCTCATGGATGATACATTCTAGTGGAAGAGTCAGATGTAGTTAATGTCAGGAACTGTTTTTAAAGTGTTAAAGTAAATCAGAGTAAAAGGAAAGGGGGTGGTGAGTATTAATTGTGGTGATTAAAGGTTTCTAAGGAAGTAACCAGAGCTGAGAATAGAAATAAGGAAGGGAGGCAGAAAGGGAGGAGCAAAGCAATCTTGTTGATTTGATTAAAGCAGAGCAATAGAGCAGTGTGAAAGGGGCTAGAAAATGTAGGACAAGCCTGGGTTTGATTTATACTTTAAGATCACTGGATACTGTGTACAGAATTTGTTGTAGGTGGCATATAGGGAAATTGAGGAGACTCAAGTCTTTGCACCAAAAATGTTAGTGGCTAACCAGGGTGGTAGCCGTGGAAATGGTGCTAGTGGTAGGTGCCAGTCTGTGTTTTATTTTATTTGGTTTTTTTGTTTTGTTTTATGTGGTGCTGAGAATCAAACCCAGTGCCTCATGCATGCTAGGCAAATGCTCTACCACTGTGCTACAACCCCATCCCCTCCAGTCTCTGTTTTATAGGCACAAACAAAAGGACTTAGATCCAGGAATGAGAAAGCAAAGTGATGATAAGGATGACTCTTGGGTTTTTGGCCAGAGGGAAAATGTTAAAATTTGTTTTGTACTTAGGGTCAGATGGCTTTTAGATTTCTAGGGGAATCAGTACAGAGTCCTGTATGTGACAAGTTGGGAGAAGGGACAGGAAATTAACATTTGGGGATTTAATCTATGAATGGAGTTTGAAATCATGTAACTGATGGTGCTTCTCCAATTTTTGTATGTCTGAGTTGCCTCAACATGTTAAAATATGGCTTCCTATTCAGTAGTCTGGTGTGAGGCCTGAGATTCTGCATTTCTCTCAAGCTCCTCTGCGACACTAATGCTGCTGTTAAGGAATCAGATTTTGTGTAGCCAAGTAGATGCAGATGAGGGAAGAGTCAGCCCTAAGGTGCTCCAGCATATGAATTAGGGAGGAACCTGTAAAGGAGCCTTCTGAGAGCTCCCAGTGAGAGAAACCAGAAAATGGTATATCAGAAACAGAAGAAAGTGTTTCAGGAAGGGAGTCAAGAACTTTTTCCAACAAGATAAGCACTGAGAATTAACCACTAAATTGTTGAGTTTAATAAGCTGAAAATTATGGGGATGAAGGCCTGCTTGGAGAAGGTTGTGAGCAGGAAAGGATAAAGTAGTGAGAGCAACTACTGTATAGACAGCTAAGTTTTATAAAAGGTTGTAATGATATTTTTATTCACTTATTCAAATGGTTATTTAAGAAGTGCTTAGAATCTGGAGTGCTAAATTTTGTATCAGAAAATGACATTGTACTCTTCTCATACCTTCTTTCTTGGTGAAGAGCTGAGGAGGAGAGGGATGTTGGAAGTCTAGCAATTGGAGGTATGTGTGAGGTACCACTTAGAAAAGTAGGAAAGTGGTCAAGGAACACCAGTGGGAACCATGGGTTAGCAGGAGGTGTTGGTCATAACTTCAAATGGGTTGATAACTCAATTATATTGCCAGCATGTAGGTGTGAGAAAAGAGAAACAAAATAACTTGAAATTTCAAAATCCCTACAGTAAGCCAGAAACATTGCATCTCCCTAGTCCTCTTTATATGCCCAGTAGGTGGCTTCTGAGGGCTCTGTCCTTATTACCCCTACATGGAACGGAGAGAGGAGTTGGCAGACACAAGCCAGACAGTTCTGCTCTTTCTGATCCATGCATTTAGACTTAGATATAATTAAAGATGTATTTTAAGTAAGGTATGTTATTTCAGAATATCCTTCACTGTGATTGCTTAAACTCTGTATGTCAGAAAAACCATAGCTTTTTTATCTCCTGTTACAATGTGAGGGAAGTGCTCTGAACCAGCATTCCAGAGATCTTATCCACTAGCTTAGCATACTGTCTTCCTTGGCCTGCAGTTTTTTAAGCGGGAAAATGAGTGATTTAATATATGGTCATCCTAAAAATGGCTACTTATGCCTGCATATTAGTCTGAAGAAAGAGTTCTCCTGGTCACAAACTTACTACTTGAATAGTTTATAAAGCAATAGCTTCAATTTATGTATGTGGCAACCAGACTTCAAAGCAGAATTTTCTAAAGTTCAGGCACTATACAAAGATCTCAGGGAATATGGCCATTTCCCCATGCCATTTTAATCTTACATTTAGATACACTACTTTATGCTTTTTAAATTGACTCATTTTTTTGATGTAATTTTATTTCAAAAGGGAGCATATCACTTTTAAGTGGAAAAGTAATATCACTTTCTGTGAATAGAAGATTTTCTTAAAATATAATGAAAACCATGCAGAGCTATTAAATTCTAGCTAGGTAGTATTGCCTGTGAAAACCAAGTCCAAACTCTGCCCTTTATTAGGCTTAATGAATAATATTAGGTGAGAGTAAAAGGCATAGACACTAATCAAAAAGATTTAAAGAGAATTTTCTTGAAAATTATCTTACCTACCATCCTACTCTAGAATAAACACTATAAGCAACAGAAG